CAACCTCTGTATAACACTAAATTTAACTGGTTGTATTACATCAGCTTCTAGTTAGATGAGACATCCTAGTTATACATACACAAGAAAATGAAGATGTATGCTGGCAATACAAGTCAGGTTAGGGCATATTCTTCAAAGTATCACCTTAAACAACAAGAATAGCTTCATCATCACTGAAAAACAATGCTTGCATTGACACCATGATGATTTAATTTTGTTTTAAATCTGTTTTGAATGGGCCCTATATCCAGGACCCCCTAAATTGCTCTAAATAATGATGTCCATTGCTTTACCAAGTGAACTACCTGACTAAATGCAAAGTTAGAGCAGAAAGCTTTTTTTTTTCAGGTTTAAGAAGAGTGATCTATGAATTTATAATCTTGTTGAGAAGACATCCAAATTAATGTTGAAAAGGGGCTGTAACCTCTTCCAATTACAGGTTTATAGGAATACCAAGGTATATTAAGTTCAAAGTTAGTGCCACCACATACTGATTCTGCATGCAAATGAGCAGCTAGAATCAGTCATTTAATAGTGGTGAAAATACAGAGGATGGGGAATGTTAAGAGAAACATAAAAAAATCCAGTCTTCTCTGTAGGTTATTCAACAACAAATGAGCTATGTCTACCCTGAGACAATGAATTGTCAAAAAACAATGAAGAGTTGATCACATCTAAAACAGAAAGCCAGCACCTTATGCATCTGAGGATCACAGAGATCCAAGAAAACAAAATGGATTTGGATTAAAAGTTTAAACAATAGCTGTATAGGGGAAACCAGTTAAAGACATGGCTGAAAGTGCTTTGCAAATTCCAGACTTTTCTTGAAACTGCATAATAAACCACAGAATATAAATATCACAGTCCTCCAGAGGTCCATAAGCTTTTCCAAGTGACTCCTAGCCTGTTTCTTGGTTAAAGGGGTGTTGGAGGTGGCTCAAAAAACAAAAGGTGATTTTTGAAGAGTCCATCCCACAATAACTGGAAAACCTCGACATAACCTCACATCTCTGAAAGGTGTGAAATCTACTATAATTCCCAAGATAGATACAAATAAAAACGTTTCAGCAATATGCACTACATACAGCTGTATATTTAAGGAGAATAGGATAACAAGAGAGAGTAAAGAAACATCAGTCTTTCAAACTAAAGTTTCCAATTTGTGCCAAATATGATCAAACTGAGATATCGTTAAACTGGGCAAGCTTGGCATTAAAAATCTGAGCTTCTCAATATGCAACCCAAGTTCAAAATGATTAAAAAGGTGCTTTATGGTCAAAAAGCACATACATAAAGATATAAGAACCACAAATTTTTATGAAATCCACTGAAAAATCACTGATTAGGCAACTTAAATTTCTTAACTAACTGCCCTGCATCATGGCCTAAGTCTCAAATAATCTTTAAATTAACTGCTTGAATATTTACAATAAATGTATGAAAATAAAAAAACACAAAAATTATTGGCCAACCAATAAATCTGATAGAATAACAAAGCTGTAAAAGGGATGAGCTTAATCCTGTGATGCAAAACTCATAAACAAATGAAAATGGCGAGAAAAAATGTGGCCATACAAGTTTGAACAAGCACCAAGTAGAATCAGATATGGCAGAACTATGTGGCTGTTGATGACTGGCCTAGATTTATCAATAGGAAATACAATTTAAAACAGCAGACTAAGCAAATAAAATTTGTATATAATCTCAAATTATTGAGAATAATATAGAGAAGAAGTAATGGAGAGAATACTGGAATAGCAAAAAAGTCTCATTTTTAACAAAACCAAAGAATATGTTATGAATCATAATAGTTGAATCATAAAGTCACATCACATATCTGAACATCTACAAACCAACTACGTTGTGACCTAAGAAACAACTAGTGATAATTACATATCAAATGTAATCTCACCATTGCAGCACATAAATATACCATTCATTTCTATCTTCTGGTGTTATAACATACTTAAGATCATCTCGCTCTAGCTGCCATTGTTCCTTTGTCATTCTCTAGGAGATTTAAACAGTGTGGTACATGAGAGCAAGCAGACTGAAGGAAGGTTCAGTAAAAGCAGCTTTACCATGTTCAATAACAGCACGAACACACAATTTGTTTGCAACTAAATAAAGACTTCATTTTGTGCATTACCTTGTGTTCAGTCTCCTTTCCAAGACTCGACTATTTAGAGATTCAGTATTATTCTATAACAAATATCTCGATGGAATCTCCAGCTGTTTTGCAGACCTATTTCATCACTCATAAGTTAATTCAGTTCAATCTGAGTTTACCACAAAATATTTTTTCACCAGTTAGTGCTTTTGTTCCTTCTCTTGTACTTTATTTAATTTTTGTTTGGTAAGGAAGAGTGATGGCATGAAATTACATTTAAACAGCTTTTTATATTTCTTTTTTTCTAAAAAAAACAAAAACTTAAATAATGTAAATCAATTTCTTTACAAAAATAACAAATATGTAAAGTTAAAGTAAATAGGAATTCTTTATTGAACATGTATTGCTAGGCTTTCTATAAAAAGTTTCTTCTCCATTATTAATGAATCACTTTTTTAATTTAGGAAGCATTGTTGAGTTGGTTTTTGTTCCATAAATGAGGCTTTGTAAAGTTAAGAAAATTATATCAAATTATAATTAAACTGAGTCTAAGGAAACGGGTTAAATAAAAAAAAGTAGATAGATCACTAAACAACCTAATAAAGAAGGTTTATGATTTTATAACATATTAAATTTTTGATGGAATGTAAACATATTACTGATAAATAATATATATGTAAAAGATGTATTTATAAAACTTCTTAGAGAATGATTACAAAAATTCTTAAACACCTAGAAAACCTGTTGTACAGAGTAATTTTGAGTTCACAGTTGCAAGCTCCTCAAAGTATTCATAAAAATACATTTACAATTTACATGTATACCTGTGAGTCAGTCTGGTTGTAGTACAGGTGTATATTAGTGTAACTCAACACACAAAACAAAATATATCTATCAAACCAATTATTCATGCCATGGTTTCAAACATTATCATGAAACACAGCACTTCAAACAAGACAGGAATAGAAAAAGTTAGTAACAATCATGATGGTGCATTTTTGTTACCTTCTAAAGATCATAGTAACAAAATGTTTTTTCTAGTATTTTTGAATTAATAAACTACATGTGCATGTAAGATTTTATAGGAGTACATTAGAATGTACTGTTTTACATTTTTTGATATAACTCATCACAAAAATAAAAAAAACTTTTGTTAGAAAATTGTCTCATTAAGGTGTAAGCAAAATATGTATTTATGTGAATACTGCTTGTAAGCAGATTTATATGTATGAAGAAAATTCCTAAGTGTATACATGTCAGTATTTTAGAAATTATGTACACATATATATATGAAAAACAGTAACATGTATTTCACAAATATCTTCAATAAATAGTATTTTGATATGGGTTTTAACAAAAACATGCAATTTATATTTTTGTTATTCAACTTAAATGTATGTGATAATAGTCTAGCACTACAACACACTACTGATACAAACTGCCATCATATTTGAGATGAACAAGTTGCATCACAGATTTAATAAGATAACTTGGGTTCAAATTACAAAACAAAAAGACAGTTAACTTAAAATTAAAATCCAATAACTTGTCATATTACAAGCTTCTTACAAACAGTAGTTCATGGCCTTTTTTTTTTCACTTGACAGACAAATCTTTGGAAAAAAAGCTTACAAACCAATACTTATAGTATACGAAATACACAAAAAATAGACTGTTACACATAAGGTTGTAAAAACAAATTTGAAAGATCTGAGACTTTTTGTTCTTAAACTGGATATTTATGCAGACCAGCAAAAAAATGCCTGTGGACCAGTGGTCGAGAATGACTGCTTTCTAATTCACAGCCAAAGATTTATAAGAATCAATACAAATGCAACAAGGTATCCATTTCCTTTGTACATAATATCCTAATATTAAGAATGAGTAAAGAAATAGTAAAAGTACAGCACTATTCAGTGCCAGTGCTAGGCAAGTACCATCAGTGTTGCTAAACATAGCTTGCTAAGTCTATAACTCTCTGATAAAATAAAAACTTACTTTTCATATCATATATATTAAAAAGGTTAGTCTTCAAATTCTGATAAGGGCATTGTAAAAGACCTCACTTAAAATTTTAAATATCACATAAAACCATTTAATGAAATATGATATCACAAAAGAAAGACAACAAGAGAAATCTTGCTTACTAACCTTATCTTTCTATTTGAAGATATTTTGTATTATCTGGATGAAGGAAAGGATGTCAACTTAGTGTACTTTTATTTTCAAGAAACTTTGATAAGAAGCTACCCAAAATATTAGCTGAGAAAATCACATTGGTAAGGGTTTGGTAAAGACTAGTTAATTGGATTGATTTTGACTAATTTGAGATTTTTATTTTGATACATATACTAGGCTCACTAAACAAACTTTTTTCAGAAATATTCAACGACACAGTAAGATAAACTTACCTAGATATTCAACAACTTCAGAATGCTTGAAACTTGTAAGTATGTGTTTATGACTCCATTTTGTACAAAAAAATTGAAGAATTACATGACACTAATCCAAGCTTATAACTACATACAGCCATTACACTTTTTTTACAGAGCTAGTTATCAAATGTTCTAATCTGTATTCAGTGATTCACTAGGCTATGCATTAAGGACATATTTGATTTACAACTGTAATTTGTGCTTTAAAGGTTTAATTATTCAAATGCTAGGCATTACAAAATCATAATTTTTTTTATAATTTGAATCCAACACATTTCGTTGTCATATTTAAACTCTAAGTCTAATTTATAAATTAAACTTTAAAGTCCTATTCACTTTCACTTTACAGTTATACTTTGTTGAACAAGGTAAATACACAAAAAAACGTACATTTACTTTGATTTCTATTAGTTTTTAATTATAATTTTTTTCATATTATTTATGGAATGACTTACCGAAGAAAAGTTTGATCTGCTATCTGTTTAACTCTGAGGAATTGCTTCTTCATTTTCACATTGGTTGGCTGAAGACAAAAATTTGAAAAAGAACACTAACTTGTGACTGAGTGACTAACTTTTAACTACTTTAAGATAACTTATATTAAGCTAAGTTTGTAGTTATATTTCACGTTATCTTTGGTAACATGTTATTTTCTGCACAGAATGGTATTCCTAACTCAAAACTAATACCTTTTTATATCATATTTTTCACAAACATTTCATATCCCAGTATCATACCACTACAGAGTCAAACTCAATGTTTGTTTATACATTCCTTACGCAAACAGCATCGCGCTCGCAGACTTGACTAATAAATTTAGACTCCAGTGGATATACAGTGACTTTCCAAAACCTCGCAAGGAGTTGTGGGATTTATTTTTAACTTTATCAAAATTAATAAGCAAAACCATGATTGTTCTGGTTGTCATAACTTTTTGCACAATCGAAACAAACAAGAAGGTTGTCAATAGATCAACAAATCTCAATAAAAATTAGGATTTTTGTATCAACATAGTAATTTTTCTGGCTACATAATATTTCGGTTTCTGTTCATGGCTAGTATTTTTATTAATTTTATTTGCTAATACACAGCAAATTCTTTCTTCATTGAGCAAAATATTATTCGAAATGTATATATATCATTCCAAAATATTGTTATGTATCTGCTTGTTTGTTTGTTTGTTTCCGGTAGAAATTCT